TGCCAATTTAGTTAATCCTTGTTCCCATGCCCAGTCCCAGACAACCACTGATCTACTTTCTGTCTTTATAGCTTTGCTTTTCTGGACAAGTAAATGGAAACTATGCAATATGTGGTCTTTTGGGTCTGGCTTCTTAAATTTAGCATAATGTTATCGAGAGTCCTTTATGCTGCAGCATGTATTAGTACTTTTAAAAAAAATTACCAAATAGTATTCCATTTAATTGTATGGGTATACTGTTAACTGTATGGATAGATCTCATTTTGTTTATCCATTCATCAGTTCATGGACATTTGGGTTATTTTTTGGCTCTTAACCATTAATGCTTCTATAAACATTCGTACCAGTCTTTCTGTGGACATATTTTTTTTTTTTGAGGAAGATTGGGCCTGCACTAACATCTGTTGCCAATCTTCCTCTTTTTTCTCCTCAAAGCCCCAGTATATAGTTGTGTATCATAGTTGTAGAGTTGTAGCTCTTCTGTGTGGGATGCCACCTCCACATGGCTTGATAAGCGGTGAGTAGGTCTGTGCCCAGGATCTGAACCAGTGAACCCTGGGCCGCCAAAGCGGAATGCGTGAACTTAACCGCTACAACACTGGGCCCACCCCGTGGACATATTTTTTCATTGATTTTGGGTACATATCTAGGAGTGGAATTCCTGGGTCATATGGTCAATTTATATTGAACATTTTAAGAAACTGCCAAAATGTTTTCCAAAGTGGCTGTACATTTTATATTCCTACCAGCAATGTGGGGTCCATTTTCACTATATACATTTTTTTTAAAAATGAAAGGAATACAAGAGAATTTGAGATCAACCTGTATGAAGAAATGTATTCAAAATCCTGTTCATTAAATACTTTACGTGCACACCCAAGAGTGTGGCAGCACATTGTTCCTCTACACTGGTTTCAGTCTTGGCTGCATGTGAGAATCATCTGGGAAGCTTTGAACAATCCTGATGCCACGCTACGTCTCAGACAATTACAACAGGGACACAGTGGCGTGGGTGGGCAGGCATTAGGACTTTAAAGCTCCCCAGGTAATTCCAATGTGCAGGCTGAGACCTTCTGATTAAAAACAAAAGTTTGTTGAGTCATTCACTTAGGCAAATAGTCACAGCTGAGCAAAGAGTGTCTACAGGACAAACCGAGTGAGACTGGAGAGGTTTTATGGCTGTGGAAGGAACAAAGAACGCACTGTCTGCCAAATAGTAGCTGATTATCTTCATTTACTTTTCCTGGTGTTATTTCAACTTTTTCAATCTTTTGACCATGAAGTGGAGGAGAGACAATGATAACTGGAGGGGGTGTGTGGGCGGGGAATCGAAGGTTTCAAAGCTCTGTCTGTTCTAGAAGGGAGAGACTTCGAGTGTGTTTAAAAGTCAATTGACAATCCAGTTGAGCAGAAGGGATAACTGATGGCTAAGGCTCCACCACGGAGGAGAGAGGTTCCCAGACCCAGGTGGAAGGACTGGTCCTAGAGAGGAGGAAGGCTGGCTTCTCTGTTTTAACAGGAGGTAGAGGATTGGGAGCACGTTGAGGCAGGCATTTTGGTTTGCTAGCAGGAAGATGAGGGAATTCCCATCTCTGTTTTTTCTTTTTCTTTTTTTAGTGAGTTGTGATGTAAGGTTATTTTGTAGAGTGATTTGTGAGGATGGGAGGGAAGAGAGGGCAGGGTTGAATGAGGAGAGCAGAAAAGATTTGAAATAGTCGTTGCTGAGTGTGAGAATGTAAGTTCACCTGAGAAGAATGAGCAGGTCTACTGGGCAGCGTGGAGAGCTGAACCATCTGAAGGTGTTTATGACTTGATAAGGATACAGCCCTTTATTCTCTCTCCCAGCTCCTAAGGGCAGGCAGGAGAAAGCAGACAGTAGATTTGATCCTGAGTAACATATACCTCCACAGGTATTTAGAAACGACAGAAGGGCAAAGGACTTTGGGGTCAAGCAAGAGTGTTTCAAAAATAATGGACTATAAAATCCATGCTGGAGAAGGGAAGGAGAAAAAGAATAGGCTAAAGACTGAGAGAAAGGAGAGCAGCCAGTGGGTTGGAGGAGAGGCTGTGGGCAGAAAGCAGGATGCTTAGATTATATTATTACGGAGGTAGAGATGTCAAGGAACTGAGCCCAGGGACGGATGGGTTGTCCATGCGGGTGATGGCAAATCTCATTCTCTCCATTTCCTCACCTTCTACTCACTCCTCAACTCACTCAATCTGTTACCATACTCTACCCAACAGCTTTTATTGAGGTCTCAGGCGACTTCCATGTCTTTAAATCCAAAAAATATTTTCCAATCCTCATTTTGCTTGATTTTTCAGCATTATGTTACACTTGAACCATTCCCTGTTCTTGAAATGGTCTCTTTTACTGGCTTCCAAGACAACACACTCTTCTTATTTCTTTTCAACTTCTCTGGCTCCTATTTATTGGTCTCCTGTAGAGGCCATCTGCCTCTTCCTGCCCATTATATGGGAGTTTCTTAACAGGGTGTAATCCTCAGCCCTCTTGTCTATATTTTCTCCCTGGGCAATCTCATCCATGCTTCATGGCTTCAGTTACTAGTCATCATCTTAGAATTTTCTTTTGAGCATTAGGCCCATATATCCAATTTCTACTAGTCATTTCCACTTGGATGTCTCAGAGGTTTTTCAAATTCCTCATTAACTTGAACTCATAACTTACCCCCAAATCTGGTTCTTTCCTGATGTTCCCACCTAAGTGAACCTCGTGTCTGGTTACACAAGTCAGAAATCTAAGAGCCATCATTAATATCTCCCTTTCCCTCAGCCTCCCATATCCAGTTTATTATTCCCATCAATTTGCTTCCTAAATATCTTTAGAATCCACCCACTTCTCTCCATCTCCAGCAGTATGATCTGGATCCAACCTCTATCATCTCTTGTCTAAACTACTGTGAAGCTTCCCAGTGGCTTCTTACCAATCTCTCTGGCTCCCCTCCAGCCCATTCTCCACACTAAATCCCATGAGTTCTGCCTCCTCCTCAAACACAAATCTGGTCATATAACCCTTTACTTCAACTCCTTCAGTTACTCCCCACTTTCCACTGCTCCTTGAATAAATACAAAAACCTGTCCTGTGGTCCTCAGGACCCACACGGCCTAGCCCCTGTGCCTGCTCCAGGCACACTGGTCTTTGCTGCGCAGCAGCTGTCCTGCCTTCTCCTCCTGGGTCCTCCTGGTCCCCTAGCTCTCGCTCACACTGCCTCGGGAAGCCTTCCTGACACTCTGCACTGCTCAGGTTCTTCCACTAATTGTTCTCGTGGAACGGCGTGCCTTCCCTTCACAGCGCGCCTTCCCTTCATAGCGCCCTTCCCTTCACAGCGCTTATCTCAGTTGGGGATTACGCAATCATTTAGGTGGTTATTTGATGAACGTCTGTCTTCTCACACCAGACTCCAGGCGCCGCCTGAGCAGGAACCACATCTGGTTTTGCTCATCCTGTACCCGCCCCACTTAGCAAAATACCTGGCTATCATAGGTGCTCAAAAAAATTTTTTGGGGGGGAGGATTATTTGGCACCATCAGATTTAAGCAGAAAGGGATATTAGAAGTCATCTGCTTTCTGTCATTTTCAAGTTGAAGAAACGAAGGCCCGGAGAGGTGGGAGATGGGGGGGGGGTTTCACTTATACACGGTCACGCAGCTAGTTGATGGCTGAGCTGGAATGTAAATCCTGGTCTCTTTCTATCTCAACCTGGGAACTATTTGGTTAATATAAAAACTCCAGTAGTATTCTCTCCCTCTCCTGCTTTTTTTTTTTAAGTGAAAAATAAAAGCTATCTGTGCTTTTTGTGCTATCCAATCACAAAACATCAAACCATTGGTGGCACACAAGATGGCACACTCTGGAGGAACGGGTAAAACCATCGTAAGGACATGCCCCACCCTCACCCCCAGCCCCATGGGTGCCAAGTGGGGGCCAGGAGCCACACTCCTCCTGCTCCCCTGCTCATCAGCCACCCAGTCCCCAGCCACAACCAATAAGAGGAAGATTAACGAGGCTCACAGTGACACAAACTTACTCCCTGGAAGCTGTGAACTCGCCAGAGGAAGTTGCAAATCCCATTTTGCAGCAGGCAATCATTGTTGCACCACAGTCTGATTATCAAGTGTTTTGCCCTGTTCTCCAGAGGCTTCGTTTTCCCGCAGTTTCTCTTGCATTGAATAAAGCACGGGTGCCCTCTGGTGGTAATTTGTAGAAAAATCTCATAAGAGTTTGGGTGAGAATTCTTAGTTCGTATTTCTTTCCCTTGTCTCCACAAGCCATTTCCAAAATCAGCCATTAAAAGTAAACCAGAGCCATTACAAACCATCTGAACAAAGAAGCCATCAAGGGACCGATGCTTTTTGAGGTCAGGCTTACACTTTGCCAGCCCCCGTTGCTGCATCGATCTGTGACTGATGCTGTGGCCTGAGGATACGGACTGTGACTGGCCCAGTGTGGAGTGGAGGTCCTGATTTGCTGTTCTGAAGGGAATGCCCTCCATGGTGGAGACACTAAAGTCTACACAGCATTTTACAGTTGACTTATATCACATGTTGTTATTCAAATAACTGTGTAGGGAAGGGAAGCTCTGTGCCAGCAGAAGGTCGCATGGGTGGAAAGCTGGGACCTGTGGACAGGTAAATAAGGGCAGGTGGTGGAACAGAGGAACAAGCCGGGCCTTGGCTGTTTCCAGAGCTAAACAGGTTTGAGACAATGAGAAGAACAGGGCTGGCTCCAGGGAAGCAGGCCTGCGGGGGCCAGGCTTCAGGAAAGGAAGCAGCACCCGATGTCTCAGGCTGTTTCTCAAAAGGCTGGTAATATCTACTCCTGATTTTCATTAAAGTTTTTTGATATGCCCCTATTTTATTAGCTCTGTTTTATATTGTGTATGGTTTTGTGCTTAATTTTCTCTGCATATAGTAGCCTATTAAAAGCAAAAATAGAAATTTGTGCTATTTTAAAACATTAGGAAATATGTTTGAAAAAGTTAAAAATCACAAAGAGATCTAGACTGTTTAATAGTTACTTTTTGATGGAAATCCAGTCACATCTGCCTGTGCCGTTATACATACCATTACTCGGACATTCACACTCCACTAGGAACATGACATATTACAAAAGAGAGAGGGACTTTCAAAACCACGGATTTAATTTTTAATACAAAATCTGTTGCACTATTACAGAAGTGACCCCTTCATGCACAGATAAATTTAGCATTTACTGTCACGGAAGAGTAAAAACTACTTTTATTGTTCTTCCCAAACATTGGCAAATTTAAAGTGACTTTTATCTTTGTGCTCTCTGATGCCAAGGCAAGCTTGTTGTCTTTTTGTATTTCCATTAGAACAGCTGATCTGTGAAAAGCGAATATGGAGACATGAAAGTATTCAGGGCCATCTTTCCCTGGGATTACTTCAACCTGCGCTTTTACCTACAGATCTCAGAGATGCCAGGTGACTAGGCCTCTGTGCCCCATAGGCAAAGCTCTGAAGATTTCATCTAGAAACTTGCTGTCCCTATGTAGAAGAGTTCACTATTTCAGTTTCACAGCAAAAAGGGAAAATAAAAACCCAAAAGGTATTTACATCAATGCTTTCCAATCCAATGCACTGTATTAATCAGCTAACTCCTTATACAGTACAACATGAACATTGTTTGCATGTTTGTCTGTAACACCTATTAGCATATAGCATCTACACTTTAAGTGTATTTACAAATTCAACAAAATATCTACATATAAAAAGCTTTACTTAAAATTAAACTTGATGCAAGTTATGAGAAACCAATTTATTGGCAAATGAAAATGAGCATTCCTTCAACCATAGGTTGTTTATAGAATTTCATATTTGGAGGTTTAAACCATTTGATAGATATTGTTTACGAATATGGTAGAATATATGTGTTTATTTTTTGAAACTGTAGACGTAATCCCTTTGACTGTTGGCCTTGTTAGCACTTGTCAGATTTCTTAGATTCTGAAATGTGTCCATAGCAATTTGCATACACATTGTTTAATGCTGCAGAGAGTTTCAAAAGCTGCCACATAGGTAAAGACTTAAAGAATAATATATTCTTGTTGCCATGCTGTTGTATGCTTTTAGTTTTGAATAACTTGTTTTTTAAGAAAATTTTCTACCAAGTTGACATCTTTCTTACTGAACGTGACATGTTTTAAGAGAAACCATAAAGACCATGAAATGTTCATGTGCTCCAGCTGGTGATAAAACTTATCTTTGATACATATGAGGAAAATGCTCCTTAAAATAAATTGTCTTATTAATTTTATTCATTTTTTTCAGCATTGCAATTTTCATTATCTCTGCTTTTTAAAAGTTACTTGTAGACAATGACAGTAAGCTAGGACTCTGAGGCAACTGTACTGACTGCTACAGAAGGCAAGATATGTCATGGAATGCTTATTATCTGAAGGCACTGCATGTGTCTCGCCCTGTGCTTTCTGGAATAATTTTTGAAATTTAATTGGAGTGATCTGTTTTTGATTCTTTCAGTATGGCACAAATGCCAAAATGCATTGCAATCCACATTGTTTATGCCTAAAAACAACTCAACACAGAGATGATGTAAAAAGTAGAACACTGCACTGCTGTAATACCTGGAAGATTAAGAAGGCTATGAAGTAACAGGAGCAAAGAGCAGATAACAGAGTCTCAGTAAGCATCAGCAAATGCAACTGTCATAATTAACTCATTTAGCAAGAATATACTGTACATACTTTCCTAATAGTCTCCCAAAAAGACTAATGACAGCTAGACATAGAGTCACCAATTTCACAACAATGTCCACAAAGACATTGAAGTTCTAGAGAATACTACAGTAACACTCTTGACAATGAAAACGGAATTCATATTTAGGGGTTCAGCTGAGGATAGTATAAACAAAGTATCAAACCATGTTTTAATAACATACACAGGTATGTCCTTTAAATGTGTAGCATTTTTCATGCATGATATTGAACTGTATCCTGAAGAGGAACTAACATGATCTGTTGATGATGTTATATTATTCTGATCAGTTCTGAGGAAGTCAAGAATACCTATTTTGAATGAAAAAAGTATGCACTTTGCACTGCAGTTCACACTGACTTATCATTTGACTGAGTTATGTTCTTGCTCTAACTATTCTCATAATATTAACATACAGCAGAATATACACTTTCTGCCTCCATGTTCATAGAATGAGAAGGCTGACAAACAAGTGCTTAAGATAAACATTCTAGAGAAATGGAATATTGGCAAAGAGCTTACAAATTAAACAAACGAATTCATGGCGTTGACAGGAGAAGGTGCCTCTGAGCTTTCATTTCCTTCAGCCGGTTCTTTCTCTTTCTTGCCACTGTACTGTCCGATAAAGGAGCCATCCTCATTGAACTGGCCGTTGACCCCCTCTCCATAGTCAACTAGGCTATCATCGCTATCTTCCTTTTTCACAGTCCTGTCTGAAGGTGTTCGACTGCCTTTTTTCAAAGGCTTGTGGTCTTCTGCATCACTGGAAGAAGAGAGAAAACATTTTCATCAAGACTGGTATTTAGGTAAGATGTTTTGTTCTTAAAGATCATGCATGCAAATTATGATGAAGCATATGGAGTCCCAAGTTTCTCTAGCCAAATCTAATCATCAGGTTGACTCTAATGACTGGGATGTGGTTGGAATGGAAATCAGGTGCAGAAATGGTTTAATCATGAAGTCTTCAGTAGGTGGATGGCTTCTTATTGGGCATGTCAATATCGATGACAGATTCTGGCTCCTGATTTGGAAGCAATTCAGAAATAATCACAAGTATTAAAAAAGGAAAGAATTGAGAAAAGTTAAAAATCATCACTATTCGGAATTCAAAAGGGGGTAAAAACTATAGCAAGTAGAGAAGTTAGTATGTTAAACTGCATAAAATCTCTGATTCCTTGAATATGAATGGAGAATGATTTTGGTTAAGTGTGAAATATGGATTTTTTTCCCTGAGCAAGAAGGAGAAGCAAAACCCTGTATTTCAAATAATTTTGTTATTGAGTGCAGGCCAGACTTGTAAACTTTAACCTTACCTTTCAAGAGACCTACAAATTCCATTAAAAGGATGCAGAAGAAACAAATGAAAAGAGCCTAAGAAGAAAAGCAAAATCCTTATACTGATAGTATACAGTATTTTTTCTGTAAGAATTTTAGTTAATGGGTAAAGCTTATTAATTTAGAAAGAGACAGAATTTAACCTCGAAGCACACTGCATTTGTACTATTAAAGGCATGTCAAAATATTCTAAAGAGTGTGAGTGATTCTAAAAATGTAAAAGCACATTTCCTGCCCTCATCTCTACTGCACTACTCCCTTCTCCCAAGTGTGTTATGCAGCCTATTCATGTGGCATGGGAATCTGAGGAGTGCAATTTAATAAAATTTTATAGGACTCAAATTTTTTTGGCTTATTTTTCTGTTGAACCCCTAAGCACAGTATCTGGAAGTAGGAGAGTAATCATTCTGTTTTAGAACATCCACTCACATGGTCATGTAACTAGGTATGCACATTGACCTATTCCTTAATAGGTAACATTTGGTTTTAAAAAAGAAAAATATAGAAAAAAAGGCAATGACAATATTTTGTTTTCTTTCAAAGAACAAAAATGCAAGGCAAAATAGGAAACATAAACAATATTAGTAAAAAAATAAAAAGGCTTAATGTAAAAAAGAGGTCACATTAACTGCAGTATTTCACCTAGCAATTTGTGCTAGAACTTTATTGATCCCTCTGTTTTTGAGTGACTTTTTTCTAGCCAAGATACAAGTATTTCAAGATGCACATATTCTAACTCTTTTGCCAATAATTTCTATTAGAATCTTCAATTTTTCCCCAAGAAGAAAATCTCAAGATTGGAAAATAATACTAATTTAATATGATACTGGCATGTACCATTGAAAATTATCTGTTTCAGCAACATACAAGTTCTTGTTACAAACTGATATTAAGTGATATTATCACCACTCCTAATAAACAACTGGGGAGGTACCACAGGACCTTGGAGTGATCTGTATTTGGGGCACTTCAGGGGACATAGCATCCAGTCTCCGACTTGTTGCAAGAACAATTTGTACATCTTTTGGATTTAATCATTAACTTCTAGGCTTTGCTTGAATACTTCCTGTGAAATATTGCTCATGACTTGGTGAGACACTTAAAATTCTGCTCATTATTGAACTCTTTAGTGGAATTGTGACCTGGATTCCAACTATTAGTCTTATTCTGCTTTGTAGAACTAGTGTTCCAAGGAATACACTACAGAAAATTCCAGTCTAAGGCATTTCTTTGATCCAGCCATCTATCTATCCAGCCAGCCAGCCAGCCAGCCAACCAGCTATCTAATAAATATTTATTAAGTGCCTCCTCTAAGAGAGATAATTTTCTAGTCATATAGCAGCAAACAAAATAGACTAAAACCCTGACTTCATTGAGTTATTTCTAGTAAGGAAAATATAGACAAAAAACAAGCAACATATTTTAAAAATTAGTTATATAGTGTGTTGGAAGGTGATTAGTGCTATGGAAAATACAGAGCTGAGTAAAGAGGATGGAAAGTGTCAGGGGAGGGGATGGAAGGTTGACACTTAAATAGGATGTTCAGGGAAGGCCTCATTAAGAAGTGACATCTGGTCAAAGACTTAAGAGAGTTGAGTTAGCCAGGTGGATAGCTGGAGGGAGAGTGATTCCAGCAGGAGCAACTAGCAGTGCAAATTTCCTGAGGTGGGGGCAAGCCTGGCATGTTCCAGGAAGAGTTAAAGTAAGAGAGGTGACAGGGCTAGATCAGAGCCTTGTAGGACATTGGAAGAGTTCTGTCTTTAACTCTGAGTGAGACGGGAAGCCATTGGAGGGCTTTCAATGGATGAGTGACACAATCTGACTTACATTTTAAAAGGATTACTGTCATCAGTGTTGAGAACAGCCTACCCTAGAGGATAGGGGTTGGTAAGCAACAGCAAAATTGGGCTGTGCCCATTTATTGTGATGGTCTGTGGCTGCTGCTGCACTACAACAGCAGAATTGTAGAGTGGCAGCAGAGACTATGTGGCCTGTAAAGTCTAAAATATTTACTGTTAGGTCCTTTACAGAAAAAGTTTGCCAACCCCTGCTCTAGGGGGTCAGAGGAACTATTGTAATAATCCAGGAAAGAGATGACTATGACTTGGGCCAGAGTGGGACACACATGTGGTACAAGTGGTCAAATTATGGACATATTTTGAAGGTAGCACCAACAGGATTTTCTGATGGATTGGATATGGAATACTAGAGAAAAAGATGACACCAAGATTTTAGGCTTGAACAACAGGAAGGATGGAATTCCCTTTACTATGGAGTGCAGCATGTTTGGGGTGGAAGATCAGCAGTTCAGTTTAGGACATTTTAAAGTTTGACATGTCAGAAGACCCATTCCTTTATTCATTCTATGAGTCTAGTATAACACTGATATCTAAAACCAACAAGAACACTTTGAGAAAGTAAAATTACAGGCTAATCTCATTCACGGACATAGATGAGAAAATCCCAAAGAAATCATGAGCAAATCGAAGTTAGCAATCTACTAAAAAGATAATATATCATGACCAGGTTGGGTTTATCCCAGGAATGCAAGTTTGTTTCAGCATTAAAACATCAATTTATATAATGCACCATCTTAGCAGAAGAAAAGAAAAATACGATCATCTCAGTAGATTTAGAAAAAAGTATATGGTAAAATTCAACACCCATTAACAATAAAAACTTTAATACATTAGGAACAGAAGTATCTTCATTAACCTGATTAAGGGCATCTACAAGCAAACTGGGGTAGAAGTCATCCTCGACAGTAAATGTTGAAAGCTTTCTGTTTGACATCAGAAATAATAATAGGGATGCCTGTTATTGTCACTTCTAATCAAAATTGCATTGGAAGTACTAAGCAATGTGATGAGAAAAATAAATAGAAGGCATATGTATTAAGGAGAAAGGAAACTGTTGTTATTCATAAATGATATGATATGCATGCCAAAAAATCCAAAAGAATCTACAGGCAAACATTAGAATAAAAATAGAGTTTAGTATAGTATATTTTTATATATTAAATAATATAGTATAGCAATACTATATTAGCATAAAAGTCAACTTTATTTATGTACTTGCAAACAACTGGAAAATGAAATTTAAAAAATGCTTCCATTTATGATATCATAAAAATATGAAGTATATAAGAACATATACCACAAAAATATGTGTAAGACCTCTATGAAGAAAATGAAACTTTTATTCAGAGTTATTAAAAAAGAGCTAAAAAGCAGAATAATATACCATAACTACAGACAGGAAGGCTCAAATATGGTAAAGATGTTAACCTTCTCCATATTGCTCTTTAGATGCATTTCCAGTAAAAACCCAGCAGGTTTTCATGTGGATCTTGGCAAGCTGGTTCTAAGATGTGTATGTAAATACAAAGGGCCAAGAATATCTAAAAAACTCTTGAAGAAGAATAATAAAGTTGGAGGACTTGACCTAGCTGATATCAAGACTCATTCAAAACTACAGTATTCAAACAGTGCAGTTTTGGTGTAGAGACAGGCAAATCATCAGCAGGATGAAATAAGAGCCCTGAAATAGTTGGGAGATCTTTTTGTTGGCTTTATTGCTACATCACATTTTTATGCTATCATAACTGAAATCATTTAAAAAATCCTATTTTCCAACTGTTTGCTGGTACATAGAAATACAACTGACGTTTATGTTAATTTTGTGTCACGCAACATTACTAAATTCTCTTACTAATTCTGATATTTTCTCACAGATTCATTTGGATTTTTACACACATAATCATATCAGTTATGAATAACGACCATCCAAAAAGGGGCACCCTGGAAGCACCCATTCCAGCTTAATGGCCACAGTGGATGAGAGAGAATGTACGGCAACATTGGCTGTGCTTGAAAGAAGAGGAGGAAAGAAGAGGATGCTCTGTCCATAGAGTCTTTCCAGGAAAAGCTGTTCAAAGGCAGTTCAAGATTTTTTTAAGGCTAGTTTTCAAAAAGTGGTGTGATGGGGGCTGGCCCGGTGGTGTAGCGGTTAAGTTTGCACGTTCTGCTTTGGCGGCACGGGGTTCACTGGTTCGGATCCTGGGCACGGACCTACTCACTGCTCATCAAGCCATGCTGAAGCAGCGTCCCACAAAGAAGAGCTACAACTCTACAACTATGATACACAACTATGTACCGGGGGCTTGGGGAGAAAAAAGAAAAAGAGGAAGATTGGCAATAGATGTTAGCGCAGGGCCAATCTTCCTCAAAAAAAAAGAAAGAAAGAAAGAAAGCAAGAAAGCTGTAGCGATTGTTAAGACACGGAAACCTCTTAAAAAAAAAAAAGTGGTGTGATGTAATGTCGTATTTTAATCATCAGAATCTGGTTAAATGAGAAAAAATTACATGAGGCACCTGCACAGTGCCTGGCTCGTGATCTGTGCCCAACAATATAAGTGCCCATCCACCTGCCATCATGCCTTTTCTCTCCACTCCAAAGAGAAGTTGCCTTGTCAAGTTTAAGGGTGAAAGGGCAGTTTTCCCAGTGAGGGGAATTTAGAAGTTACAGAAGATGATTGAAAAGTCATGGACTTATTTAGCTACATAGTATTCAAAGCTTAAAAAAAATTCATCCACATTTTTATGAGAACTTTTAAGGACAGGAGGTGTCAGATGTTAATTCTTAGCCTAGAATGTCAAAGATTAAACAAATTCCAAAATAAGTCATATAGAGCTACAATATATATATTTTGATATTTATATCTACGAATAAAGATGGAAAGAAATGTTCACGTCACAATATCAAAACTCAGTTCCTGCGTTACTTCCTCTGGGAAGACTTCTTGTCCCGCCCTCCTTCCATGGCACTCACTTGGCTTTGGCTTCCTGCCCCTGCTCCCTTGGCATCTTGGTTGTACCTCTTTCACAGCACTCTTCACACTATGCTCAGACTGTTCTTTACTTCCCTGCATCCCTCACTAGACTACAAACTAGTGAGATAACATTATATGAGTTTAATATCCCCATAGCCTGGCATACAGTAGGCACTCAATAAATCCTGGTTGAATGAATTCACTGTAAAATAACAATAGAAGAGAGAGTGGGCATTTTAGAAATTCTTCAGAATTCTAACATTAAAACATTTTCATTCCTTCTTAATCAATTTTATGATGGCAGACGAAGCACTGGAACATATTCTTCCCTTTCTCTTACCCTAAGAGTGAATTTTAGGGAGTTCACTTTTTATTTGACAGCACTTCATTCAGGGTTGTGCACATAGAAGGTACCCATTAAATGCCTACTGAGTATAATTCAGCAACAATGGATAAATCTGTGATTAGTGGGTCTGATTTTCCTGTGGTCACTACCCTACCACGGTCAAACCATGCTACAGTTTTATTGACATTCATGACCCAAACCCTCCTTCTAAAAGTCCATCAGTATTTATATTGCTCCCACACTGGTTTATGTTTGTAAGCAGAATAAATCTAAAGTATATAACAAATGGGACACATCTTCACATCATTCAAGCCTATGAGCATGGGTTAGCATGCCTGCAACAGGGCTGCGTTCACATGAATGACAAGATTCCTGTGCCAAGAGCTTCCACTTACGCTATGAGTTCAGGCACCATGGTCATATGGTTTATGACCTAGGCTCATTCTGGTTTTTAAAAGGATGGATCTAAAGAAGAAAAAAATACTTACATGGTTGGTTGCATTGTTTCTCTGATTTTTCTATATGCTAGTAAGGATGCAGATCCTACTGTCTGTATAATTAAAGAAACAAACAAAGAAAGCTGCAGGCTTTCATCAGAGGGTAACTGCTTGGGGGTGGGTGTTAGAGTAAGGGCACAAGGTTACAGCATATGAAAAAAAAAATCAAATTTGGCCATTGAGGTTCCATCTCTCTTTGCACCACGAAATATACTCTGGCTCAGAGCCCACCACATAGAAACTGTTTCATCCTCAAGCTGGAGAATGAACACATCATAAACAGAATTAATTTACATTTAGGCAATAGCCCTAATTTTGGTGTGTCTCTGTGTGGTCAGCATATTAATTTATTTTCAGAATGAAAAAGAATAAGAATCTATAAATAATACAGAACTCAAAACTTCCAGAAAGTGCAAAGCAGAGAAGGGACCCTGGTGATTTAAGGAGAAGAGTGACACTTAGATGTACTACTGAAAAAAAAGATTCCATAATAAACAGTTGGAACCATTTTCACTAATTGTGACATCTAAGAAACTAAAGGTCTTTTGTTTTTTTTAAGCAGAAAAGAAACCATAGGGAAAAAATTCTGAGGCAGTTGCAGGAAGTCACAGGATGAAGCCACATCTGTAGCAAAGGATGGTTGAGTATTTGGGGAAACAATTTTGCTTGTCGGATTGTCCTTATGAACTTTCGGCTTCAGTAAAAAAAAAATCACTGACTTGTGTTTCAAGTTTAAGACGCCCGTCAGAACCTTATTTCCCTTGGCATCTCCCAGATCAATGTAATTACACGTGTGACAAGTGTTTTTGCCTTCACAGTTGAACCAATGGGTTTGTACTCAATAGGCCCAAGGAAAAGTTTTTCTCTTATGAGAAACTCAAGGCATAAGCTAAAGACAGCCATTTGAAAACACTTCACAATTGTATCACATGTGAATTAACACCAAGACAAAGAAATATGACCAAATAAATGTAAATACAGTGATAACAAGGCCAGTAACCAAAAACTTGCTACGTACTGCTCTGGAGGCCAAAATCCTATTAAAAGTTCTTAGTAGATAGCTCGTACAGAAGAATAGGAATCATAGAACTAGAAACCTTCAGACATCATTTAATACTTGAACAATTGTATCATTTTATAGATGAAAATAATTGAGATGTAGACAAATTGTGTCATATCTAAAGGAATCAAGGGTAATGGCTGAGTGGACAGTAAAACCAACAGCTCTTGATTCCATGCTAGTTTCATTCCACCTTGATTTCAATCAAGTTTTAAGGGAGTAGGAAGCATAGTTACCCTGAGAAAGTCACATTACATCAGATCATGGTTTCACATCACTGCAACAGCAAGTTGACATGTGAGACCCTTGAGGTGAGCAATACATTGCCAGATTCATTTAAGCATGATAATGTACAACAGGAATCCATCCCACGTGAAGAATGTATGAAGTGCAATGGTTTATTTTCAATTCATGAAATATACAATTTTTTTCAGACTGTATTAAAGATTTAGCTTCATCACAATAAATAAGGGAGTGGTGCACATATCCTGTGTAGAATTCTAGCCACAAGAACTCTAAAAATAAGAAGTTATTTAGTAATTATCAGCTCACCTGCTTTACAGGAGAAATGTCTAGAAGAGTGAATTAAGTCAGCAAAGATTTCAACTCATCCAGTGTAAGACATGGCTGCCCTAGGCTGTGGCCATCTGCAGGCTGCTCTAATGTGTTATGAAAACCTTCTGGGTGGACTGGGTGGAGGTGCTGCATGAGGTTTTCATACACTTTCAGTCCCAGAGTCAACATCTGACACCAAGACAACCCTCACTAGACATTTTTCTATATCCTGAGATATAGAAATTCTGAGACGTTTTAGAAATCATAGTCATCTCTGTTGAAGAGAAATCAGAATATGAAAGTTTAGGTGCTGAGACACAAAGGCAAATCACTCATATCTGCATAGAAACTGGTATGAAACCAATTTTGTCAAAAATACATGGCAATCAGTTTTTTCTCAATTAGGTCTCATATTTCTTATCCTTGGCATTATTTTGCCCCTCATGATATTGACATGGAAATACCAAAAATGAGCACCAGAGACCGACAAAAATTAACACAAATATCTTATCTACAAATGTTATCTGGCAACCACAAGTGAAATATTTTATTTCACCTAAAACCCTTTTCTTCTTGCAAAAAAAAGCCTCAATATGGGGTCAGGGCATTAAAAGATTATATTTTATATAATCAAGAGGCTTATAGAAAGAAAAAACAAGGTGTAAAGGTATTTTATAAATAGAAGTATTTTTTGGAAACATCAAAATCCCAGTTGTTTAAATGAATAAATATATATTTTGTTTCTGTTTTTAAACATATCTAAAATAATCATTTGTCTCTCTTTAAAAAGACCTATAACCCCTAGGCAAGAATATCTTTGTTTAAAGAGTTTCTTCCTTTTTTTTTTCAACTATTTTAGCACATAGGTTATGTTAAAATTTGTCCTTAATGATGGAGCCAAGCCAAGAATGTATTATATCCAAGTTCTGCGAGTTAACACACTGCCTCTAGGGCTGTGATATTTCTTAATAATTAACAGCTTCTCAAACAGCCTAGTCATCATTTCATGATTAATGGGCAGGGGTGTAGGTATTTGTTTTGGAAAAACAAGCTTTAAATCCAAGATTAAAAAGAGTAACACTGATTTTATAAGAGCACTGCTTAGAAAATGACAGGGATAGCTAGCTTCCTTTGCAATGCAGGTTTGTGGGGTCTTTACTGTTGTTTTAACTCTCACTGTAACACACCAGCTTTGCTAGGTTGATCAATACAGCAAGGGCCTCTGGAAAATATGACAGAGTGGAAGACATTCCATTTCAAAACTATGACTAAAATGGAGATTTATCTTTTAATGGAAAGTGAGAATATGTTAACTGTGAGGGATGTGTAAACATTTAGATATGGAAGTGTCTCTAAACTAAAATTTGAGGAAAATATGAAATGCCGGGCAGAGCACATTCCTGGCCACGTCCTATTGTAGGGAGATTGAGTACAGTGTCTGGACAGGGCAGGGCAGGGGAGGGCAGAGGAGAAGCAGAGGCTCACCTGTACTCTCCAAAAGTGCCATCATCTTCCTTCATAGGCTGGATTTCAGGATCAGCATGGGCATCTTCCTTTTCTTTAACTAAAAAATTTCAAAATGACATTATCTATTGATTTTGTGTTTCTTTGTTCAATGTTTTTAAGCATGCACTCTTTAAGATAACACAACGGTGACAAATAATTCTAAACACAGTAGATGTTACACAACCAGATGTATTATGTGGCCATGCATATATTTTGATGTTTTAGTCTCTTTGAGGTAACTTAATAGAATGAACATTTGTTAACACATAAAGTTGACTTCATGTAAGCATTTTGGCACAAGTCTCTTAGCTGATGAAGGAATAAGTTTTAAGTTTTTAAGATTTCTCTCCTATTTTACCAATCTATTTATTAACTATATTCATGGTTACAAATTGTTTTTGTAAATCTATTCTTCTGCAGAATTTTTCTTGTCAATGAAGGGGAAACGGCCAGGTAAAGAAAATATAAATTCATTGGATCCACTAAGTTGAACAAAACATTAACCACATAGTGAAAGCAATGTTACACATCACGATATCCAGACTCAGTTCATGCATTACTTCCTCCAGAAGACTTCATGTACCTTCCCCCCTCGGCCTTTTGGTTTTAGGTGCTGTTTCAGTACCTATTACTTATGTGGAGCCTAAGGAAGCAGACTCACTAATATCGTCACTAATATCTTCAGACAACACATTAACTTACTCCCCCAAATGCCTTCTGATCCTTGACAATGTTTGTTGTTGTTGTTAGTGCAATGGAGTGGAGTCCGACTCCTAGTGACCCTGTGTACAGCAGAGCAGAACCCTGCCCGGTGTTTTTGCACCATCCTCTCACCTTCTGGTGCTATATCAGACAGCATACTGCTGCTATCCATAGGGTTTTCATGGTTAATTTTTTTGAAGTGGGTGGCCAGGTCCTTCTTCCCAGTCTGTCTTAGTCTAGAAGCTCTGCTGAATCCTGTCCACCATGGGTGACCCTGCTGGTATTCGAAATACCAGTGGCATAGCTTTCAGGGTCACAGCAACACACAGCTGCCACAGTATGACAACTGACAGATGGGTGGTATGGGTCTCTCACTGGGAAATGAACCTAGGCCATGGTAGTGAGAGAGCCGAATCTTAACCATTGGACCACCAGGGCTGGCTTGACAATGTTTAGGCTCCCATTATATGAAAACGGATCAAAAATTCAACAAAATTCTGAATTTATGGTTCTGCGAAGATACATTTATTGCAATCTACATGATTACCCGCATGATTTATTTTTAGTTTAATGGATAATTATGCAGCATTATAAAGCAATTTTAATCTTTCTTTCTTACCTGGATATTTACCACCCTTGTTTCTTCTGATGAAGCAAACAATCAGCAAAATTAAGATAAGGAGAGCGACAGCACACATTAGACCAATGAACCAGCCCTGAGTCGCAATATCCACCTGTCGGCTCGCCATTGCTAGAAAACAAATCAGTGATGTCGGTGGGTATGGGTTAAGGGGGAGATGAGAACTGTTGCAGTCTCTTGTAGTAAATAATTGCCATAGTATATGAGCTTTTATATATTTTACACATGGCCCCAAATTGGAATCTGTCAGTTATCAATCAGGAGTTACATACAGATTTAACTTTGAAAAATCATTAATTAAAAAAATTCAAATAGAGAAATCTGAATGCTACTACCATTAAATGCTCACAAACCCTGCTGTACATTGTGTTCACAGTTATTTTAACTATATATTCTCAATAGAAACACAGTCCCAAACCAATTAAAAATTTATTGTTTATAGGATAAATTGTACATTAAGCACAATAATAAGAATATAAGACTGAATTTTAAACAGAACAGAATGTATACATCTAATGGAGTATTTTTCCTTCAAAGGAAACACTTTTGGAGGCTAAAATATCATTGCAATGATGCTGCCATTTTTCAAAATGTTTTGGAAATTTTCCGTTAAAAAAGAAAACTTTCCACACAAGAAACCTGTTGACATAAGATAACCAGCCTTATTATTTTATATGATATCTGAATTTGCATCCAAAATATCACTTAGATTTGTTACTTATCTCATTCTTTATTTCATTTACAAGAGTTGGTTCTGAATGACTTTTGAAAATTTCTGAAAAATCCAATTTACCCTCAAATGTTCAATATTTAAAATTCAATATTGCTTAAGATCCATTCACAAGACTTTGAAATATATCTTGATCAGTGGAACCATTATTGGAACAAGTGACCAGTTTAAAGAGAAAATACTCATTCACATGTATACACATTCTTTAAGTCTCCATCTATTCTGTTTGAGTCAATAAATGTGAAGCCCCTTATTCAACCAGTTACAGTATGCAAATCTTCTAAGAAAAACACAGAATACTTAGCATTTCTGGTATTATTCAAAAGTGTCAATCAAATGGGACAAAGTGCAGCATCAATGGCTATTCAGACATGCCCATGAGGATTTGATTAAATAAATTGGTATGAATCTTTTTATAAAAAGGCCTTTATTTTTTCTCTTTTGACCATAATCAAGGTAAAAGGTTTTCTTCTTTTGATTCATAGGCATGCCTATATCATGCTTTTAATTTGATTGAATTTCTTCGGAATACATTTAACACGGTTGGGTTAGGCGTATGTGATCTCTGGACACAGAAATAAGCATGGCGACATGTATCCCAGGTCCTGCTATATGTTGCAAAAATAGCACCTCATTGCCTTTTTTCTCCACACAAAGTATAGGGAGAAAAATGAAATGCTTAAAATCAAGTGTGAAGAGAAATGTGAAAAATGTGTGGATGTGTTATTTAAGAAATAAAATGAGAAGTGGAAATACGTTATCTGGAATACAAATCAAATGCCAGTAGCCTTTCCCCAGTAGCCCCTGTGCCTCATTGGTTACAGGGGTTTTGAGTTGCGTCGTAACTAGATACAGCTGAAGCACGAGTATAGGCAGTGTTCCCCTCTATACACAGACCATAATCATCATGAGGATGATGAAGATGAAGACAGTCATATAACGAGAGTTAACATTTTGTAACTCTTACTATATGCTAGGCACTGTGCTGAGAGCAAAATCTCATTTAATCTTCACAACAGTCCTTGAGGTAGGCATGAGGAATAAACTCATGCCCAGAGAGGGTAAAGAACTTGCCCAAGAGTTGGAGTTTGACCCATGTCTGCCTGACCCCAGAGAACATGGTACTGGCCATTATGCTCTACTGCTATAATGCACTCCTGAAGACAAGTCCAGACATCAAATCTGCAGAAGTCTTTACAAAGAATAAAATGTTATAGGGACTTTCCATTCTGAGACAGGGAAAAATATTTTAAAAGTCCATCATTACATACTCTTTGGCAATATATTTCTGTCAATTCACACATGGTCTTTGATCATGTGCTTTTTCTTCCAAACTGAATAAAAAATCAAGTGGTGTAAGTCTATGGAGCATTTGATTGAAGCCAAAGAGTCCTTGTTTTTAGTATGCCTGATGATTTATACCTTGTCATAAATAGTATCTGCATTTACATTTTTCACCTACTTAGATGCAACTGATAAGGGCAAAATGCAATAAGATACTCAAATACTAGCACAGACATTGTCTTGTAAAGATAGTGACTGTCCAAATTGAACTGCCAGCTGGCAGCTTGTTACTATGCAAAAAGTGGAAATGTTTCTTTGAAGGTTGATAAAGAAACATCTAAATTGACTTTGAATTTTTGCCTCAAGTCTAAAGAAAAAAGTATCAAATATTCTACTGCCCCATTATTTAAGATTAGGCAGACACAACATGTTAGGTACATATCTGTGCATGCTCACACACACACACAAAACACACACACAAGTGCACCAGAAGTTGATCTAAAACAAAAACTTAGTAAGTGAAAGTAACTTTTGACTTCCCATCCACATAAAAAGGGATCTAAAGCCCAGAATGACTATAAGAGGCTTCAAGTCTTTCCAGGACACTCTAAAATCATCTTAACTAGACACACATACAAACCCAAGTCATGGCCACCATTGTGCATCACACACACAGATTGAAGCCTGAGGGCCTTTTTCTTCTTGAATCTGAGCTTTAATGGGTGGGTATTAGTAGGATTGGGCAGGAGAGTGAAAGAGGATTTTCACTATCTAAAACTTTTGCAATAAAATTATATTCATGTGTTACTTGAGTAACCCATAAAGCAATAAATTAAACAAACAGACAAACATAAAGAATATGAAAAAAGAAACCAAGCCAGAGGAATGAAATGTGCTTTGCTTCCTAGAAGTTAGTTTTAACAACAGTCTTCCGCTGTCACACTGTCTGTTGTCTCGTGGGCAACCTGTGTTCTGCAGCAGGAGGTCTCAGGGAGAATGCTCTTGAGTACTTAGAATAAACATGGAAGAGACAGGGTGAGAAAAATGGCTATTTACGAAGAATCCACTACGTATAAAAATGTTCTGTTAAAATAGAAATGTATAGAAAGGGGAAAAAATTACCTTGGCCAAAGTTTGGAGGCAGTTGACAAAACAAAACCAAAAAACCTGTTGGGCCCAGTAAAAGCAAATTTGCTTTAAATCCTTTGTGATACGAGAGGAGAGACATGGTAACTGAGGGGAAGAAGAGGAGGTGGGGTCCTAACAGGAGCGTGAGTAGGAAGCACAGCATCACGACACCACCTGCAGTCGTGTTTGATGTGTTTTTCAGTTTGTGCCATAGGAAAAAATTAAGAAATATATCTTAAAAATCCGGACCATAAAAGGCAGAGATGGTGTCATGTTAAGAAGATTCATGAAACAAGCACAAATGAAAGTAGAGTCTAGGTTCTTGAAATTAGCAGAATTCAGAGAGAAGCAGCTCATTAATGCAGAGTTAAAAAATTAGCCAGGATGGTATGCTTCCATGCCAAGTACTGACATAAACATCTCAAAACCTAGCGTGGAGAAGGGGAGAAGCGAGAGCAGTAGTGATAATGCTTTCACCCTGGAGTTGATCCTGTAGCCCTAAAGGGCAGAACATGGAAACTGGAAGAACAAGGAAGTTGGATTAACAGTATTTGCTCCTAGAAGTAATATGTTAACTCAGGTCACTAGGGTTTAATCAATATTTACTCTTTTTAATGGTTACATGTATATGTAAAAGGTGACAATAACTGGTGTGGCCTTGTCCTATTTCTCCATCGCTGGCACACAGAAATGGTCCACTCATTACGATTGCTCACCTTGAACTACCTGCCAGCTACAGCTGGAATTGTAGGGATAGTAACACTGAAGAAACAAATTTTTCCTAAAGGGTTTGCCTTCTGTCTTATAAAAGGACAAAAAATGCCACAATTTGATTTTGCGGGAAGAATCTAATTCTAGCTAGATCTGCAAGCTGGGAATACACTGGGGCTGTTAGGGGTCCAGAATAGCTGGATAGACGTACCAAGTGCTAAATGAAGCGTCATTTCTGAGACAACCTGTTCCCCTCTGTGACCCTGCATGGTGGGTGTAGTGAGAGCCTCTCCTCCAGTGTGGGAAGGCTGAGCCTCTAACCCAGCTCTCCCATGTTCTAGCTGGGTGACAGGGCAGGGACTCCACCTCTCACTACACGTCATTGACATGACATGTGGGTGGGTAATAACACCGCCTACTTTATAGGATTATTGTAAGGACTGAATAAGAAAAGCTGTGAAAACCATTCGCCTGGTATAGATTAGAGCTGATTAAATGCTAGTGCTGTTACTATCATTAGCATTCTAGCTGTAAAGGGATAGAATATCTACTTGAACTTTTAGTATTTTGAAATTAAATGCTATTGATAAAGACAAACACCTTGCAATACTAACCGTGAATTGATTTAATACGTATTTTCCTAGAACTCTCTACACAAGTGGATATGAAAATACAAACAACAGACAAACAGAAAAAAACATTTATTTCTTTAAGCATTATGATTTTAGCACATGAATACTTTAAAAATGTAGTTTAATAAGTTATTGAACATTACCTTTGGTTTCTTTCTTTTTCTAAAACCATTCATGATTGTGTATTTTCTAAATTATAAGAAATGACTTTAAAAATCATAAAGCTTGGGTAATGAAAGACACACAAAATACATTTTGCCTATGGGCTCTACAGGAAATGCAATATTTCCTCAAGAATGCTTGAAGTGACTGAAATAACATGGATGTATGCATCACAAAATGAACATGCTCCACACAAACCTTCTTTAAATTTAAGTAAGCATGGATTGCTTTCCATCTTGTGAGTAAATATGAATATTCTTATATCTTACATGAAGATTTTTCTTTATTTTAGAAACTTTAATTATTGTGTGTTTTGATAATGTTGAAATAACTAAAATACATACAGGCAGTCAAATTTGGGGTGATAACAATGAAATACATGAACTGAATAATTTCCTGTTCTATACAAATTTAATAATATTTACATCAGTTGTCTAAACAAACTGCAGGGTTCTGCTGGGTTA